CCACGAGGATATAGAGCATAATCGCGGCATGGCGCATCGCAATTCAGCACGGCGCAGCACAGCACATATTTCTGCACGGTACATCAAGATCGATTTACTCAGCATTGCAACTTGGCACGTTCCTTGGCACGTTCCGTGGCGCGTCCCTTGGCGAGTCTCCCTGGCACGTCGCGTGGCGCGTCCCTTGGCACATTCCGTGGCACATCCATTGGCACGTTCCGTAGCGCGTCCCCTTGGCACGTCCCGCGGTGCTACCCCATGGCATGTCCCTTGGCACGTGTTCTGGCGCATCCCTTGGGCAGTTTCGCGGCGCGTCCTCCTGACATGCTCCCCTGTCCATCAGCTCTGCGGCAGCTACTATGTGTTCTGGCAGCTCGAGTTTAAGATCCAGATCAGTTCGGTCAGGACTCGGATGCAAAGGAGGACTCGACCTATGACGCTATAGAGCACGTTCGCGGCATGGCACATCGCAATTCAGCACGGTGCAGCACAGCACAGCCTTCGGCAGGGTACATCAAGATCGATACACTCAGCATTGCATTTGCCCGTCACCCAATCAGGTGTCATTGAAAACGTTGCCATGTGTTACAGTTCTGTATTCCTTTCTGGGTTCGTGGGTCGATCATGTTCGAAATTCTAGACGCTTCGCGTATCCCCACCAGCCCGTCCAGAAACGACGCCCAGGCGAGTAGAGGGTCGTCCTGAGGGGCGTTTCGGCGTCTTGGGTGCCTCGGGGTGGGCCTCTGTGGGCCGTTCGGGATCCTCTTTGGGGCTTCCTGGGGGCCTCTTGGGGCCTCCTGGGGCCATCTTGGGGCCTTTGGGGGCCTCCTGGGCGCTTCTTGGGGCCTCCTGTGCGCTTCTTGGGTGCCTCTGGGGGGTCTCTTGGGGCCTCTTGGGGGTCTCTTGGGGGCCTCCTGGGGGCCTCTTGGGGCGCCTCGGAGCCATCTTGGAGGAGATCGATCAACGAAGGGGGGTTCCCCAATTACAGCCCCCCCTCAGGAGCCACGATCTTCGTGAGGGGTGTCGAATTTTAGCCCTCCCAGGGGTCGATCTTGGGCGCTCCAACGCGCCGCGGAACCCCCTGTCCAGGTCAGTGGGGAGGGGGTAGGGGGAGGGGTAAACCCCTCCCCGAAGGGGAAGAAGGAGGGGTGGAAGAGGAAACGCTCTAAACCACCGACGCCCAGAGGCTGGTGGGATTCTAGACGCTTCGCGTATCCCCACCAGCCCGTCCAGAAACGACGCCCAGGCGAGTAGAGGGTCGTCCTGAGGGGCGTTTCGGCGTCTTGGGTGCCTCGGGGGGGCCTCTGTGGGCCGTTCGGGATCCTCTTTGGGGCCTCCTGGGGGCCTCTTGGGGCCTCTTGGGGCCATCTTGGGGCCTTTGGGGGCCTCCTGGGCGCTTCTTGGGGCCTCCTGGGCGCTTCTTGGGTGCCTCTGGGGGGTCTCTTGGGGCCTCTTGGGGGTCTCTTGGGGGCCTCCTGGGGGCCTCTTGGGGCGCCTCGGAGCCATCTTAGAGGAGATCGATCAACGAAGGGGGGTTCCCCAATTACAGCCTCCCCCCTCAGGAGCCACGATCCTCGTGAGGGGTGTCGAATTTTAGCCCTCCCAGGGGTCGATCTTGGGCGCCCCAACGCGCCGCGGAACCCCCTGTCCAAGTCAGTGGGGAGGGGTGGAAGAGGAAACGCTCTAAACCACCGACGCCCAGAGGGCTGGTGGGATTCCGATCGATAAAACACATGGCAAAGTACACATTCTCGTGTGTTGAGGATGTCTGGAGCGAAACGCTTGTTTTGCAGAGTTAGTTGAGGGCGTCTCAGGCGAAACGTTTGTTTTGTGGTATAGATTGTTGCTCTCCTGGGGGCCAGGATTCAGAGGATGTTTCAGGTGAGATGTTTGTTTCTCACGTGCCCAGGTCTTCAGGATGCCTCGAATGAGACGCTTGGTTTCACGCATCCAGGTCGCCCAAGCAGATGGTCTGGCATGTGGCTTTGTGGAGGCTGTCTCGAGCGAGACGCTTGCTGCCACGCCCCAGGTCGCCCAGGCAGATGTCTAGCATGAGGATATGCAAGGGCTCCCTCGAGGGCGCGAAGTTATTCGCGCTTCGCGCTTCGCGGTCCTCGTTCCTTCTCCCCCTCCTCCTCGTCCTCCTATTCTCCTTCTGGGAGGGCGGCGCGAGAGCGCGAAGTTATTCGCGCTTCGCGCTTCGCGCAGCGCGAAGCGCGAACTTAGGAGCCCTTGATATGTTGGGGACGTCTCGAGCGAGACGCTTGGTTTCACGTGTCCAGGTCGCCCGGGCGGATGTCTAGCATGAGGAGGTGTTGAGAACGTCTCGAGGAAAACGCTTGTTCTCACGTGCCCAGGTCGCCCAGGCGGATGTCTAACATGAAGCTGAGTTGAGGATGCCTCCAGCGAGACGCTTGCTTTTACTTGTCCAGGTCGCCCGGGCGGATGTCTAGCATGAGGAGGTGTTGAGAACGTCTCGAGCAAAACGCTTGTTTTCACGTGCCCAGGTCGCCCAAGCGGATGTCTGAAATGAAGATGTGTTGAGCATGTGTTGAGCGAACCGCTAGTTTTCACGCGTTCAGGTCGCCCAAGCAGATGTTTAGAGAACGTCTCGAGCGAGACGCTTGGTTTCACGTGTCCAGGTCGCCCAGGCGGATGTCTCATGTGAGGACGTGTTGAGAATGTCTCGAGCGAGACGTTTGCTTTCGTGTGTCGAGGTCGCCCAGCCGGATGTCTAACATGATGATGTGTTGCGGATGTCTCGAGCGACACGCTTGTCGAAGCACAGTGCATCGCAGTCCAACCCCGCCCGTCCGTGGGGCGTGCCTCGGCGCGAGGGCGCGTCTCTTGGCGCGTCCCCTGCGACGTTCTGGCGTAACGTGCCTTGGCACGTCCCCTACAGTCGGGGTTCTGAAGAAGGAACCCTTTTCGTTGGGGAGGGGCTCCGCGTTCCTTAAGTGTTTCGCAGTTAGCCTTAGGTTTTCCTTAGGTTTTCGATATGAAATCGAAGCTTAACTTGTGGAAAATAGGGGCCTCGTTCTTTATTTAGGGTTCCTTAGGTCAACGCCCCGACTGTAGCACGCCACTCGGCGTGGCACGTTCCCTGGCTCGTCCTCTGTCGCGTTCCCTGGCTTTTCCCCAGGCGTTTTCCCCTGCCCGTTCCGTGGCGCGCCCCTTGCAGCGTCCCTTGCAATGACGTTCTCTGGCCGCCCATTGCACGCGCCTTGGCACGTCCCGTGGCAGGTCCCTGACACGTCCAGGGCACGTTCTTTTATACATCGTCTGACACGCCTCCTGGCGCATCCCCGATTGCGCCCCCTGGCACATCCTGTGGCGCGTCCGTGAGCCTGTGCCCCGTGTCGTGTCGTTCCTTCTCGGAGCTGAGTCGGATTTCCAGGTCGAGTTGATTGAACGTTCTGCACGTTTCCACTTCAACTAGCTCTGGGGCAGCTACTATGTGCTCAGGCAGCTCGAGCTTCAGATCCAGACCAGTTCGGTCGGGAATCGGATACAATAAGGACTCGATCCACAACGATATAGAGCACAATCGCGGCATGGCACATTGCAATTCAGCATGGCGCAGCACAGCACAGCACAGCACAACCTTTGGCACGGTACATCAGCATCGATACTTTCAGCATTGCAATTACCCGTCGCCCAATCAGGTATCTTGAAAACGTTGCCATGCATCACATTTCTATGTTGCTTTCCGGTTTCGTGGGTCGAACATGTTTATTTTTTCCCGAAAAGGGCTTATGCCCAGGGCTCTCTTTTAGTAGGTAAACCTGTCCCCGGTGCTTCAACTGAGGTGGGCCGGCGGATTCTTTCCCTGGGTGGGCCGGCGGATTAAAAATTGAGGATCTCTCAGGCGAAATGCTTATTTTTGAAATCCCGATCGATAAATCACAGGGTGCGGGCCACTCTTTCGTGTGTTGAGGATGTCTCGAGCAAAACGCTTGCTCCGCAGAGTCACCGAGCACGACCAAACCCCAGCACGACCACACCCCAGCACGACCCCACCCCAGCACGACCTCACCCCAGCACGCCCAAACCCCAGCACGACCACACCCCAGCATTACCCCACCCCAGCACGACCCCACCCCAGCAAGACCATCACCCAGCACGACCACACTCAGCACGACCTCACCACAGCACGACCACACCCCAGCACGATCACGCCCCAGCACGACCACGCCCCAGCACGACCACGCCCCAGCACGACCACGCCCCAGCACGACCACCCCCCAGCACGACCACCCCCCAGCACGACCACCCCCCAGCACGACCACCCCCCAGCACGACCACACCCCAGCACGACCACTCCCCAGCACGACCACACCGCCTTGGTCGAGTGGTTGCCTGTCGTCGTGGAATGTTTCGTGGGGTGTCTCGTGGACTGTTTCGCGGGGTGTCTCGTGGAATGTTTCCAGGAAAACGTTGAAAACGGTCGCCCGTGTCTCGTGGAATGTTTCGCGGAGTGTCTCGTGGAAGTGCCCGTCGCCCAATACGGTGTCGTGAAAACGTTTCCATGCATGCGGTTCTATATCCCTTTCCGGGTTCGTGGGTCCATCATGTTTTCTGACGTGTTCGCGTCGTAGCAAAAGTTAGGACAGATGTTTTTCGTCGGCTTCTGTTTCTGGGGGCACTCACCGCTCCGGGGCCATCAAAAGGTCTGGGGGCCTTTGCAGGGACGCGGGGCCGTGCAAGCATGGCTCTAGATGAAATCACGATGTGGGAGATCTGCGTACGGCAGGTTCGCGCCGTGTCGACAGGTGGAAACCTCAGCGCGGACGTTTAAGGTTGAACGCCGCCTGTGGCCCAGAATCGGCTCATCCTTGAACGATCCTCCGGCCTTTTTGAACGGGCCGATCGTTCAGATGTGAACGATCCCCGCGGCGTCAGGAACCAAGGCCAAGTTTGCCCAACATCCGCCTGTAGGGGCACATGCCCGACCTCAGTCTAGTCGCGCTTCATCACAGGACTTCGACGTCTGGGGTTTCATGCCTCCCAGCGGGTCTACCTCACTGGACATGAAGCTGTGCGAGGTGCAGTCTGTAGAGCTCAAGGCTGATGCGCCAGACTACATCATGAAGCCACCAGGCCCCGCGGTGCCCTTCTTGATGCTGCTGTACGGCTCCTCGGAGGAGAAAGAAGAGCACGTACACGAGCTTCAGAGGACTGCTCGGATCTCTGGGGTTGGCGCTCGACCCCGTGCAAGGGGGGGGCAGCGCCAGTCCAAGAGATCCGCGCAGGGCTCCGCAAGCTGGTGTGTTACGCAGTGCTGTTCTTCCTCCAGGCTCCTTCGGGTTCTCGGCCCACGTGGTGGCGCGCTTCGAGCTGCAGCGCACCACCCACCGCTGGTCGAACTTCTTGGTGTACACCCGCGTGGCCGCGGGGGGCAATCATCAGATCCATACGCACGGCGTCTCGGATTTTCGGGCTCCTCTCCCCTGGAAGCTCGAGACGTAGTGGATGTGGACAACACCATAACCTCCAGAGGCCAGACTTTTACATGCATATCCGCTGCGTCTCTTGGTTTTCCCGGAAAGGGCTTAGGCCCAGGGTTCTCTTTTAGTATTGTCACCCCCGGTTTCGACTTGAAGGAGGCCGGCGGAATTATTGTGCGATAAATGACGAGTTTGAAGGAGACCGGCGGAATTATTTTTGAGGACGTCTCGAGCGAAACGGTTGTTGTTCAGAATTTGTTGAGGATGTCTCGAGCGAACCGCTGGTTTTGCAGAGTTGGGGGGGTGCCTCGAGCGAAACGCTTGTTTTTCCCGGAAAGGGCGCGGGCCCAGGGTTCTTTTTTAGTAGGTTAACCCCCCGGCCCCCCTGCGACTTGGGCCGGCGAAATTATTCTGCGATAAATAACGAGGTCGCCTAGGGCCGGCGGAATTATTTTTGAGGATGTCTCGAGCGAAACGCTTGTTGTGCACAATGTGTTGAGGATGTCTCGAGCGAAACGCTTGTTTTATGTTATATTTTGTCCTCTCCTGGGGGCCAGAATTCAGAGGATCTCGCATGTGAAATGCTTGTTTTCACGTGCCCAGGTCTTGAGGATGTCTCGAGCGAGACGCTTGGTATCACGCCTCCAGGTTGCCCAGGCAGAGGTCTAGCGCCAGGATTTGTTGAGGATGTCTCGAGCGAGACGCTTGGTTTCACGCGTCCTCGTCGCCCAGGCGGATGTCTAGCATGAGGATGTGTTGAGGAAGTCTCGATTGAGATGCTTGTTTGCACGTGTCCAGGTTGCCCAGGTGGATGCCCAGCATGAGGATGTGTTGAGAATGTCTCGAGAGATACGCTTGTTTTCACGTGTCCAGGTCGCCTAGGCGGATGTCTAACATGAAGATGTGTTGAGGATGTCTCGAGCGAGACATTTGCTTTCACGTGTACAGGTCGCCAAGGCGGATGTCTAGAATGAGGAGGTGTTGAAAACGTCTCGAGCGAAACGCTTGCTTTCACGTGCCCAGGTCACCCAGGCGGACGTCTCACATGAAGATGTGTTGAGGATGTCTCGAGGGACAAATTGTTTTCACGTGTCCAGTTCGCCCAGGCGGATGTCTAGCATGAGAATGTGTTGAGCGAAACGCTTGTTTTCACGTGTCCAGGTCGCTCAGGCGGATGTCTAGCAGAAGGATGTTGACAGGATGTCTTGAGCGAAACGCTTGTCCCCAGCACGTTCCGTAGCGCGTCCCCTTGGCACGTCCCGCAGTGCGTCCCCACGGCACGTCCCCTGGCACGTCGCTTGGCGCGTCCTTTGAGACGTTCCGCGGCGCGTCCTCCTGGCATGCCCCCCTGTCAATTAGCTCTGGGGCAGTTACGAGGTGTTCAGGCAGCTCGAGCTTAAGATCCAGATCAGTTCGGTTAGGACTCGGATGCAAAGCAGGACTCGATCCACGACGCTATAGAGCACAATCGCGGCATGGGACATCGCAATTCAGCACGGTACAGCACAGCACAGCCTTCGGCAGGGTACATCGAGATCGATACACTCAGCATTGCGTTTGCCCGTCACCCAATCAGGTCTCTTTGAAAACGCTGCCATGCGTTGCATTTGTATATTCCTTTCCGGGTTCGTGGGTCGATCATGTTCATAATTTGTTGAGGATTCTCGAGCGAAGCTCTGGTTTTGCAGAGTTGGGGTATCTAGCATGGCGTCGGGCCCAACGCCGAATTATGAGGAAACGCACGGGGGGCCGAAAAGCGCCACCCGAACACACGTCCCAATACAGAAAAGCTGTGGTTTCTTGCTCTGAACAGGGGATTGCGCGTTGGGGGCCTCTCCAGGGAAGACATTGCGAGGATGTCTCGAGCGGGAGCGCGAATTCAGCGTATCCAGGTCACGCAGGGGGTATCTAACATGGCTGTCTCGAGCTAGAGTTACGTGTTTTTTCTTGCTCAGGCCGCCCAGGGAGATCTCTAACATGATTGTCCCGAGCTGGAACCACGTTTTTACGTGTCCAGGCCACCCAGGGGGTATCTAATATGGTTGTCCCGAGCTGGCACCGTGTTTTTACGTGTCCAGGCCACCAGCACGACGCTTGTCCCCAGCACGTTCTGTAGCGCGTCCCCTTGGCACGTCCCGCGGTGCGTCCCCATGGCACGTCCCCTGGCACGTCGCCTGGCGCGTCCCTTGGAACGTTCCGCGGCGTGTCTTCCTGGCATGTTCCCTTGTCAATTAGCTTTGGGGCAGCTGCTATGTGGACTATGTGCTCAGGCAGCTCGAGCTTCAGATCCAGATCAGTTCGGTCAGGATTCGGATGCAACGGAGGACTCGATCCACGACGCTATAGAGCACAATCGCGACATGGCACATCGCAGTTCAGCACGGCGCAGCACAGCCTAGCCTTCGGCACAGTACATCAAGATCGATACATTCAGCATTGCAACTTGGCACGTTCTTTGGCACGTTCCGTGGCGCGTCCCGTGGCGAGTCCCCTTGGCACGTCGCGCGGCGCGTCCCCTGGCACGTCCTGTGGCACGTCCATTGGCACGTTCCGTAGCGCGTCCCCTGGCACGTCAGGTGGTGCGTCCCCGTGGCACGTCCCCTGGCACCTCGCTTGGCGCGTCCCTTGGGACGTTCCGCGGCGCGTCCTCCTGGCATGTCCCCCTGTCAATCAGCCCTGGGGCAGCTACTAGTTATGTGCGCAGGCAGCTCGAGCTTAAGATCCAAATCAGTTCAGTTAGGACTCGGATGCAAAGGAGGACTCGATCCACAACGCTATAGAGCACAATCGTGACATGGCACATCGCAATTCAGCACAGCGCTGCCCAGCACAGCCCTCGGCACCGTACATCACTATCGATACACTAAGCATTGCATGTGCCCGTCGCCCAATCAGGTGTCTTTGAAACGTTGCCATGTCTTACATTTCTAGATTCCTTTCCGGGTTCGTGGGGCGATCATGTTGGCGCCCCTTCCCAAACAGTCAGGGACGCCGTGGAGGACATGGGCATACAGTGGGGGCGGTAGTTCAGGTATGTGCCCCTGGGGCTTCAGACCCTGGAGGACTCCTAGTCTGATAATGGCGGTGGTGATGTCCACGCCCAAGCCTCTACTGGCGCTACACCATGCTCTCAGACCCTGGATTCCTTTCCAGACGGTTCCGCATGGGGGGCGAGATCCGAACCCCACCCTTGCCGATCAAATATCCAGGCAACCCGATGGGCGGCGGGGGCAGGGTTCCTCCTCCCTCCTCCTCCTCGTCCTCCTCCTCCTCCTCCTCCTCCTCCTCCTCCTCCTCCTCCTCCTCCCTACTCCTCCTCTATCTCCTCCTCCCCCTCCCCCCTCCACCTCCTCCCCCTCCTCCTCCTCCCCCCCCTCCATTTCCTCTATCTTCTCCTCCCCCCCGATGGGCGGCGGGGGCAGGGTTCGGAATTCGTCGAGCACGTGTCGAGATCCAAAGCCTGCAGGACATTTCGTGGTAGGCCAAAAGGAATACCCGGACGGTCGGTCCCTTCCCTGGCAGCGTTTCGCTATGCAGTGGAGGTGGGGTCGCATGTGCATGCGGTCATACGCGCGCTGGTCAGTTCTGGGCTTCGTTGTGGAACGTCATTTTGTGAGCACTTTATAGTTACTGAATTTGTAACGCGCAGTGCTCGGCGCATTCGACCATGACAGGACACGACGAAGAATCCACAACAAAAATCCGCAACCTGCCCCCGCCTCCCATCGATTCGTGAGAATCGAAGGTTGGTGGAGGTTCGGCTCAGATGTCGCAACCTTGGCGGGGGCGGCGGCCACCGCCATCGAAGAAGGACAGCACAACATAGACATGAACGTTGGGAGCTCTTGTTAAGTCGGGCATGTCCCTTTTCAAGAGGAATCTTCAAAAATAGTCTAAAAGCAGTCTGGGGACGATGTTTCGAATATTTTTCCCGGAAAGGGCACAGGCCCAGGGTTCTCTTTTAGTTAGTAAACTTGTCCCCGGTGCCTCAACTGAGGTGGGCCGGCGGACTCTTTCCTTGATAAATATCGAGGTCGAGGTGGGCCGGCGGATTAAAGTTTGAGGATGTCTCTGGCGAAACGCTTGTTTTTGAAATCCCGATTGATAAATCACAGGGTGCGGGCCACTCTTTCGTGTGTTGAGGATGTCTCGAGCGAAACGCTTGCTCCGCAGAGTTACCGAGGATATCTCGAGCGAATCGCTTGTTTTGTAGAACTTGAGGGATCTGGGCGCACGACCACACCCCAGCACGACCACACCCCAACACGACCACACCCCAGCACGGCCCCACCCCAGCACGCCCAAACCCCAGCACGACCACACCCCAGCATTACCCCACCCCAGCACGACCCCACCCCAGCAAGACCATCACCCAGCACGACCACACCCCAGCACGACCTCACCACAGCACGACCACACCCCAGCACGACCACGCCCCAGCACGACCACGCCCCAGCACGACCACGCCCCAGCACGACCACCCCCCAGCACGACTACCCCCCCAGCACGACCACCCCCCAGCACGACCACCCCCCAGCACGACCACACCCCAGCACGACCACTCCCCAGCACGACCACACCGCCTTGGTTGAGTGGTTGCCTGTCGTCGTGGAATGTTTCGTGGGTGTCTCGTGGACTGTTTCGCGGGGTGTCTCGCGGAATGTTTCCAGGAAAACGTTGAAAACGGTCGCCCGTGTCTCGTGGAATGTGTCGCGGGGTGTCTCGTGGAAGTGCCCGTCGCCCAATACGGTGTCGTGAAAACGTTTCCATGCATGCGGTTCTATATCCCTTTCCGGGTTCGTGGGTCCATCATGTTGATTATTTTATGTTTTCAGGGGGAATCTTTGGAATTTTCGCAAAGGGCTCCGGCCCAGGGTTTTCTTTTAGTTGGCTAACCCCCCGGAAGGACGCCGGCGGAATTTTCTTCGATATTTCGCGTATCCTCTCGAGGAAAGTTTGCCCCCCAGCTCGGATCGTCGATAAATGACGGGGGCCGCAGACCATTGCTTTCCTTCGTGAAAACGGAGGTCCGGCGACTGTTTCCCATAATCTCTTCTAAATAACGGGGTCCGCAACCCCGATCGCGACACGGAAAAGCGTCCCGCGCGCAGGAATTCCAAGGATGTCTCGCGCGTGCCGCGTCCCGCGCGCAGGAAGTTCGAGGATGTCTCGACTAATTCACTAATTTTTGCAGGGTGAGCAGCATGGTGGTCCCGAGCTGGAACCACGTGTTTTCATGTGCCCAGGTCGCCCAGGGGGGTATCTAACATGGTGGTCCCGAGCTGGAGCCGAGTGTTTGCACATGTCCAGGCCACACAGGGGGGTATCTAACATGGTGTGCCCGAGCTGGAACCACGTCGCTTCACGTGTCCAGGGCACCCAGGTGGGTATCTAACATGTTGTGCCCGAGCTGGTACCACGTTTTCACGTGTCCAGGCCACATAGGTGGGTATCTAGCATGGTGGTCCCGCGCTGGAGCCACGTGTTTTCACATGTACAGGCCACCCAGGTGGGTATCTAACATCTTGGTCCCGAGCTGGAACCACGTGTTTCACCTGTCGAGGCCACCCAGGGGGTGTCTAAGATGGTGGCCCCGCGCTGGAGTCACGTGTTTTCACCTGTCCAGGTCGCGTGGAGGGTGTGTCTAACATGGTGGCCCGCGCTGGAATCACGTGTTTTCACGTGTCCACGCCACCCAGGGGGGTATCTAACATGGTGGTTCTGAGCTGGGTTTTTACGTGTCCAGACACACGCGTTTTCACGCTGGTTCCGTTTTGGCGCAAAAGGGATCCACGTGTTTTCACGCTTGTTCCGCTCTGGGGCGGGAGGGGCCCTCGTGGTTTCACGTTTGTTTCGCCACTTGAGCGCAAGGGACCCACGTGCTTTCACGCTTGTTCCGCCTTGGGGCGAAAAGGACCCACGTATGTTCGCGCTTGTTCCAGGTCGTTCAGGCGGATCTCTAACATGAGGATGTGTCGAGGATGCCTCGAGCGAAACTTTGGTTGTTACTTATCCAGGTCGCCTAGGCGAATCACTAACATGAGAATGCGCTGGGGATGCCTCGAGCGTAACGTTGCAAGATTTGGTGAGTTTTTTTCGAGCGAGGGCTTCGCCTGCAGCGAAAGCTTCTCCCTGCAGGATGTGTGGAGGATGCCTCTCGCGAAACGCTGTCATTGCATTTTTTGAGGAGGTGTCGTGTGGGGGCCTTGCCGTCGTCTGGGTGCGTTTTGTTTCGGTTCGGATTCGCCCCCTGATCGGTTCGTCCCACTTCGGAATTGAAGCGGATCTTGAGTTCGAGCTGGTGGAACGCCCCGCATGTTACGATTGCAGCCAGCTTTGGGCGAACCATGCGCGTAGGCAGCTTTAGCTTAAGACCCAGATCAGTTCGGACAGGATTGGGGTGCCAAGGCTAGTTTGATGCACAACGCAACAGAGAACAGCACAGTGCAACACAGCATGACGCAGCACAGTGCAGCACAGCACATATCAATAACAATGTACACCAAATCGCGGCCCTAGTTATTTGCGAGGGGGCCATGGCACCTTGGAATGCAGTTCCCTCGTCAGGCGGCGCCATGCAGTTTCAGGATGGTGAGCCGAAGCGTATTCGTCTTGGTTCGTCTTGTCTCGCTTCGATTCGGGTCGTCTTCTCGGTTCGTACCGTTTCGGTTCGTTTTGATGGCGTTTTGGTTCGCCGAGCTTCGGTCCGTCCACTCTCGGTGCATTCGCGTCGGTTCGGAGTCGCCCCCTCTTGGTTCGTCCCGTTACGGAACTGAACCAGATCTCGAGCTCGAGCTGGTCGAGCGCCCCACGCGGTTCGATTGTGACCAGCTCGAGATATGTTTCCAGCCAACTCGAACTTAAGATCCAGGTCAGTTCGGTCAGGATTCTGTTGCCAAGAACGTCCTGATCCACAACACAATCGAGCACAGCACAGTTCAGTGCGGCATGGCGCATATCAACTCATCGCAGCACAGCGCGACACAGCCCCTGGCACAGTACATCACCAGCATTACCTTGAGCATTGCAAATGTTTGGTGCCTCGAAGTATCTCCATGTTTCTCCCGTTTTTATATTTCCCTTTCTGGGCTTGTGGGTCGATCATGTTTCCTTCACGGTCAAAACTCATAGTAAGAACACACGGATGTCATTACGGTACCTTTGCGTTGTTGCCTCTGCGGCCCGTCCTTCGCGGTTTTGATTGGCCAGCCCTTCAGGGTGTTGTCAGTCCGCCTCCCAGAAACTGCCAATTTCGGCGTCCAAGGCCCTTGCGTCCATACAGTGGAGGCCAGTCCACAAGAAACCTTCCACAAGAAACCCAACCCTGAGACCCCAGGACCCAGGACGTCCACTGATCTTTGGTGTGGGAGCATCGCGCTCTCCACAACAAAACCATCGAAACCCAAAAAGCCCAGGACACCTGGAGGCAAGCAGGGTGTTTCTTGGCATGGGTCTCCACTGTACATCCTGTCCTTACTATAGCTTCCACTGCACGTTCAGCCAAACAGGGCCAGAGATCCGATGTCGTGCTTTGTTCGATACGGGGTCCCTGGAAGTCGACCCATTCCCCAGAACTGGTTTTTCATCCTGAGTCGTTTGTTCAAGGGCTCCCTCGAGGGCGCGAAGTTATTCGCGCTTCGCGCTTCGCGGTCCTCGTTCCTTCTCCCCCTCCTCCTCGTCCTCCTATTCTCCCTTTGGGGGGGCGGCGCGAGAGCGCGAAGTTATTCGCGCTTCGCGCTTCGCGCAGCGCGAAGCGCGAAGTTGGGAGCCCTAGTTTGTGGATGGCCCCGGGGCCCGGCGAGGGCAGCCAGAGGCCGAACATCGAGGAACACCTCCGTCTTGGTTTATTCCATACGTTGGAGGTCTCAAGGGCGCCCTCGAGGGCGCGAAGTTATTCGCGCTTCGCGCTTCGCGGTTCGGCTCCGATTCCTCCTCATCCTCCTCTTCTCCCTTGGGAGGCGGCGCGAGAGCGCGAAGTTATTCGCACTTCGCGCTTCGCGCAGCGCGAAGCGCGAAGTTGGGAGCCCTTGAGGTCTGGGGGGCCTGGATGCCGCCAGCGATCCTTCGCCCAGGGCCCCCGCTGTGCGTGCGCCCCGGCCCGCAGGCCGCGTCGCTGCTCCTCGGACTCGGCCGGCCACCGCGCCAGCTGCTCCGCAATCTGGAGGGCCTCACCGCGGATATCGTGCCGGAGCCCAGGAGGAGGAGGAGGAGGAGGAGGAGGAGGAGGAGGAGGACGACGACGAGGAGGAGGTGGAGGAGGAGGAGGAGGAGGAGGAGGAGGGAGGAGGAGGAGGAGGGGGAGGAGGAGGAGGAGGGGGAGGAGGAGCTTGGAGGAGGAGGAGGAGGAGGAGGGGAGGAGGGGGAGGAGGAGGAGGGAGGAGGGAGGAGGAGGAGGAGGAGGAGGAGGAGGAGGTGGGTCGGGGGCAACGACAGGGGGGCACAGGCATAGGGGGTCATGCATCGACCCCGAATCGCCCATGGATCGCCGATAAGGGCCCGATAGCCCAAACCTTCCCAGGAAGGTGCAGATTCACAATCGTAGGCCTGTCGCCGATCTAGTGGCGATGCATCACCGATTCCAGGTCGATGTTTCCCCCGTTCTGCCAGTCCCCCCCTATCGTTGACCCTCAGGGGGGGCAGCCACTGCTGTCGAAGACGAAGAGGAGGCACACGGCATAGACATTCACTCTCGGAGCTCCGCGCGGATCTCTTGGGTCGGCGCATGGGCCCCGCTGGCGGCGCCTCTGGCGCCGCCCCTGGCGCCGCCCCTGGCGCGCTCCGCGCGACAGGGCCGATTCAGGAAGTCCGCGCGGAGAGTTCCGAGAGTTTACGGCAAGTCCGCGCCGTGTCCACCAGCGGCGACCCCGTTTCCGGCGTTTCAACGTGGAAGGCCGCGGGCGACCCAGAACTGGTCGATCCTGAACGATCCGACGTTTCGTAGGCGGCCGATCGTTCCAGGTTGAACGACCCCCGCAGTGTCAGGAACCAACGCCGAAGTCGGCACGACACGAAGCTGCCACACGTTCACGCAGTGGCTCCTCCAGGAGCGGGGGAAGCCGGGCCCCTACCTGCCGCCGCGGCCGTCCGTCGAGAGCCAGCGCTACCTCGAGGCGGGCGGCACAGAGCAGCGGCCATACAGTCGGGGCGCTGAAGAAGGAACCCTTTCGTTGGGGAGGAGCTCCGTGTTCCTTGATTGCTTCACAGGTTGCTTTGGGGTTCCCTTTGGTTTTCGATGGGAAATCGAAGTTCATCTTGTGGATAGAAGGGGCCTAGTTCCTTATTTAGGGTTCCTTGGGTCAACGCTCCGACTGTAGGGGTTAAGTCGGGCATGTCCCTCTACGGGAGGAGTATCCAAAAATAATCGGACATAGGCTGGGGGCGATTTACTTTTGGTTATGCTTGAATAGTTTTGACTGTGTTCTATTTCTCTTCCAAGAAGTCCGCCTGTAGGAGGACATGCCCGACCTAACAATGGGGCGAGTCGGGGCGAGTCCTCAACTCAACGGTCTTGTGGTTGATCTCGTGAGCCTTGGCACCGCTCAGACATGTGCGCGGATTCTCGGCGAGGACCATCGAGGAGCATCCTGGATAATCTTGCGATAAATAAGCACACGACACCTAAGCATACACGGGGAATGGACGTCCGAGCGATGGCCAGGGACGACCCTTTGGGTGACCTCATGGGTCGTTTTCCCGACTTTGCTTATTTCTGCAGCACAGATCACAGCGCCAACATCGCAGAGCGGCTTTCGTTCGGAAAACGATCGGATGGGCCCAGAGTGTCCTGGAGAATTGTTTTCTGGATTTCGAGGTGAATGTCGTGCGGATTTGTTTTTGGCCAGGAAACAATAATCCACACGAAACTCACTTCGTCTTTTGCTCGTTTGCTTCGGGCAAACATCCACGCAGAACTCCACGCAGAACTCTGCCGCAGCACGTCTGCAAGGCCGGTACAATGACAGAGGCGGAGCGAAGGCAGAAGGAGGAAGGCTGGGCGCAGTTCGGGAAGCTGGTGCGCTTAGAGCCCGGCAGGGGTCCGGGGGCCGACTTTGATCGGGGAAGCGTAAGACTCGAGTAAGCCAGAAGTCGTGTTTGCCGATCTCTTTTTGACGAGCGCGCCTTTCTTACGTCTCCCCGATTTGAGCCGCCGTTGTCCCACCTCGCTCCGAGCAGCAGTCGAAGAAGAAAGGACGGCATGAGCATCTACTTTTGGAGCGCCGCGCGGGTTTCGCTGGGCCCTCGCGGCGCCTCCGGCACCGCCCATGGCGCGCTCCGCGTGCCAAGCACGGGGTGCCCCCCCTCGCCGATCCAAGAAATCCGCGCGGACCTCGCAGAGGAGGGAGGGGCGACGAGGAGGAGGAGGAGGAGCAGGAGGAGGAGGAGGAGGCGGGGGAGTTGGGGAGGAGGAGCAGGAAGAGGAGGGGGAGGAGGAGGAGGACGAGGAGGAGGAGGAGGAGGAGGAGGAGGATATGCCCGAGGATTGTGGAGTCGCACGTTGTTTCGATTTGGTTTTCATCTAGTGGAACGTTCCTTCATCTTTAAACGTTGATGCTTGTTTGCCATTGTTTTGTTCACCGTGATCCCCTCATAATATGCTTCTCTCGTTATATCGCTATCTCGTGTTCTCTCTCTCTCTCTCTTTGTCTCGCTCTCTCTGTCTATCTCCTGGGCCATGCCAATGCATGCCGATGCGATATTAATCCATAGCCAACCAATTCCAATGCCAATGCAATGTGAATGGGGGAATCCTTTCGCTCGGTGGATTTCAACCAGAGTCCTTTGTGGACGGTGTCATTACGAATCCTTCTTCGGAGAATTTCAATAGGAATGTCTCTGTTTCGATAGGGATGCCTTTGTGGAGGGTTTCACTAGGAATCCTTCTTGTGGGGGGTTCACTCGGAGTCTTTCTGCGGAGGGAGCAATTCGGACTCGCCAGCGCAATGCCAACGCAATGATGAAACAGCGCCATCGCAATGCCAAACCAATGCCAAGGCGATCTCAATCCAATGCCAATGCAATGCCGACGGGGAGGAGCGTTTTGTGGTAGATGTGAATGGGAATGTTATATCTGGATGGCTTCAATAGGAATCGTTTTGCGAAGGGAGGCACTAGGACTCGCCAGGGCAATGCCAAAACAGTGCCCAATCCAATGCCAACGGGGGAATCCTTGCGCTCGGTGGATTTCAACCAGAGTTCTTTGTGGACGGTGTCATTACGAATCTTGTGTTTGAGGATTTCAATAGGAATGCCTTTGTGGAGGGTTTCGGTAGGAATCCTTCTGTGGAGGGTTTCACTAGGAATCCTTCTTGTGGGGGTGTTCAGTAGGAGTCCTTCTGCGGAGGGAGCCAGTAGGACTCGTCAGCGCAATGCCAACGCAATGCCGAAGCGGTGCCATCGCAATGCCAAACCAATGCCAAAGGCGACCCCACTTCAATGCCAATGCAATGCCAGGGGGGATCCTTTGTTATACATCCCCAAAGGAATCTTGCTTGTGCAGAGTTTCAATAGAAATCGTTTTTCGAAGGGAGGCACTAGGACTCGCCAGCGCAATGCCAAAGAAGTGTCAACCCCATGCCAAACCAACGCCGAGGCGATCCAAATTTAATGCCAATGCAACGCCAATGGAGTGTATTGCTTGTGGTAGTCTTCAATAGCAATCCTTCTAAGAACCCTTTTGTGGTCATCCACACAGGGATCCTTCTCAGGACTCTTCTTCGGAGGATTGCAATAGGAATCCTTCTGTGGAGGGGTTCGCATGGTTCCCTTTTGTGGGGGGTTGCAACGTGAATCCTTCTTGTGGGGAGGTCCGTAGGCATCATTCTCGTGGAGGCATGCTGTCGGAATCCTTATGTGGAGCGGTTGGTTGGGATTCGCCAGCACAATGCCATCGCAATGCAAACGCACTGCTAACGTACTGCCATCGCAATGCCAACGCGATGCCAATGCGATTCCCAACCGTTAGCAAACCAATGCCAATGCAACGCCGAGGACATCATTCTAGTCTTTCAACAGATTCCAACAGAAACCATTGGGTGGGTGATTTGGTTACGGACCCTTTCTTCGGAGGGTGTCAATCGGACTCTTCTTGTGGAGGGTTTCGGTCGGAATCATGCTGTGGAGGATTTCACCATGAACCCTTCATGTGGTGGGGGGGGCCTTCGCGTGGAAGGTTTCAGTCGGAATCTTTCTGTGGTGGGGGGCATTGAAGTCGCCAGCGCAATGCCAGAGCAGCGCCATCGCAATGCCAAACCAATGCCATGACAACCCAAATCCAATGCCAAAGAACTGCCTGGGGGAAATTGCCGATGGTCGGTTTCAATCGGGTTCCTTCGGTGGGGGGGGGGGGGGTCGAATGGAGTCCTGCTTCGAAGGGGTTCAATAGGAACCCTTCTTGTGTAGTGTTTCAATCGGAATCCTTCGCGCGCGGGGTTCAATATGAATCACCCTGCGAAAGATATTGGAACTCGCCAGCACAATGCCAACGCAATGTCATAGCAGTGCCAACGCAATGCCAAACTAATGCCAAGGCGACCCCAACCCAATGGCAATGCAATGCCAATGGGGGAACGCATGCGCGATATATTGCAGTAGGAGTCATTATGTGGAGGGCGTCGCATGGAATCCGTCTGCGAAGGGTTTCAAGGTGAACCCTTTGCTGGGAAGGGTTTCACTAGAAGTCCTTCTGGTAGAGGGCGTCAATAACGGCCCTTTTTTGCGGAGGGTTCCATTCGGACCCGCCGGCGCAATCCTTGCGACATGCAGGCGCGCTGCCAACGCATTGCGAAGCGCTGTGCCAACGCAGTGCCAGTGCGATACCAAACCATGACCAAACCAATGCTAAACCAATGCCAACAAGCTTGATTCTGCGGGAAGGAGGAGGCGGAGGGCGGGGGGGAGAGGAATGCGGGAGCGGAGCGCCGCGGGGGAGGAGAAGCCCCCCCCGCCCCCCACTCCCCACCCCCCGCCCAAACAAAAACGGGAGGCCGCGCCGCTTTCTTTTTTTTGTTGGGGGGGTCAGGAGACGCAAAAAGCTAGATATTGGGGCAAGGAGGAGGATGAGGAGGAGGAGTGGGAGGAGGAGGATGATGATGATGATGAGGAGGAGGAGGAGGAGGAGGAGGAGGAGGGATCAGAGCAGCGCGGAAGAGTTGGAGGACGAGGAGGAGGACCTTCCCCCAGCAAACGCATACGGGATGCCGCTCCGCGTGGTTTTCTTGGGGGGGGGAGGTGCAGCAAACAGCTCGATTCTGGGGGAAGAAGGAGGGGGGGGCGGAGGAGAAGGAGGAGGAGGAGGAGAAGGAGGAGGAGGAGGAGGAGGAGGATGGGGGAGGGGGAGCCGGAGGAGGAGGAGTAGGAACAGGAGGAGGAGGAGGAGGGAAGCTCGGGAAAGCTCGAACAAGAGGGGGTCGGAGCAGTGCTACGCCCCCCCCGCGCGCAGATTACGGGTAATCTGAAGACAGGTTAGGAGAGACGTCGACGGGGGGGGGCCATGAGCGAGCAGCCGACTCTCCCGTCCGTCCGCCTCCCGAAATCCTTGGCCGAACTTCCGACCACAGGCAAGGGGGCCGATCCGCCACCCCCACTAGGGGGCATGGGCCATTGCATCCCCGCTTTCGGGGTGAGGCCACGACGGAGACGATCGATCATCGTTTGGCCAGAGGGGGCGCGCTCCTGGGGGCACTCATGGGCCAACTTGCAGAGCCGCCCCCCTCCAGCAACGATGGGGGCGCACCTGGCGCACCTCCAGCGCCAGGCCAGGCCATTCTGCATAGCTATGGAATGAGAGGGGTGCGCACTGCGGGCACCGACCTTCAATTCGCCAATACAGGTGGGGGGACATAGACGTGGTGGCCTTGCTCGCTCAGACCCCTTTTTCCAGACATCCCCGCGACGCGTTCCACACTGAAGCCAGTCAGCCAAGGATCGGCGCCCTGGGGTTTGTCGGCATTTACTGCAGGACCACCTACCTGAGCTCAGGCGAGACAGGCTGTGCCCCGAACGGGCCTCGAGCTCCCCAATCCATCCCAGGTGCGAAGCGGAGCCGATCGAACCGTCCGCCACGCCGAGCCAAACCGAACGAGCCCCTCGTTCGACCTCCGCGCACATCGGG